GCAGGAAGGGACAGGGTAAAGAATGTTGGTTTGGATCTAATAATCAGTCCTGGAGTTTGATCTGCTTTCCCTCCAGTTACTCTTTCAGACACAATGACATAGAGACTTGTCTCCCTGTAAAGTCCATCAGCAGGAGAATAGGAGTGTATGTGTCTCTCACACAATTAGCCTCATCCACACAGTCCAGACCACATTCACTCAGCCGCTCTATCCTGGGTTTGGGGTTTATCATGGGTTTGCTGTTTATACTGGATTTACTGTTTATTCTGGGAGTAGGGTTGAATATAAATCATCACTGAAGCTGTGTGAATTAATCAGAATAGATTGTAGAGAGATTCTACCCATAATGTTCACGAGTTCACCTGCCCATCCAGTCCTGATGGTTAATGGTAAATGACCTTGACTTGCTGTCCTCAATGGAGGCTCAAACATGAGGCTCGGCTTGAGCTCCGAGTTCAACTACTGCTTATATAGACTCGAAATGATGATTGACAGGACTGAATGATCAGGCTCCTCCCGAACCTACGTTTGGAACTTCATATAAATCAGTAACAGTGAGATCTTTATTAAATAGTCTCTTTATTACAGTAATACTGCAGCTGAACTTCTGTCACTGAAATAACGGTCAGAATAAATGTGTCAGAAATCCTCATATAGATAGTAAGATCAGTGTGTGTGTGTTTGTGTGTGTCTTGCTGAGTGACGATGCGTATCTGTGCTTTTCTCAAACTCTATTTGTTTTTATTGTCGTTTCACATCAATCATTTGTATTACTAGAAAAATTTCCTTTCAATTGAAAAGTACCTTTCACAAACATGATTCATGAAGAACGTGATTTTATATTTTATCATTCGATTTGTGCAGAAACAATAAAACACAGTGACAAATCAACTTCAGATCATATTTTAATTGATGATGAATATTTGAAATGTCTGTATGCTGTATGAATCATGAATATAATAATTGATTCCTCACAAGACTGAAATTAGCTTCAGCAGAGTTACTGACATTATAAAATATGACATTAATCATGGCATTTAATAAAATATATTTGTTGTAACTACAGTGCAGCTGTATTACATTTTTATGGGATCTCTGAAAAAAAAGAATATATTTCTTTTAAATATTGTTTTCATTGTTTTAAAATGAACACATTTTAATGATTGTATTTGTGAACAAAAATCAATTATATTTGCTAAAATATGTAAAAACGTGTTAAAATATGTACAAACTTTGCTGAATTGATTTGAACAAGTATTACCTTAGATATAATGCAAATATTACTTTAGCTGAAATATTTGTATCAATACTGGACTCTTTATTAATTTGTAGCAAATTAGTTGAAAGTGAAAATATCTGTGATTAATTATAACTAGTTATAATTAAGTATTCTGACAACTCGACTGAGTTGGGTCTTTATAGCCTTTGCTTTTCTTTATATTTGCTCATTAAAATTTACCATATGCTATTCCATAGTACCATACATTTGTAGGTCATGGTAACCACAGGTAAAATCATGAATGGTGCTTCACTATACAGTAAAAAAAAAAAAATGTTTTCTATAAACGTCTGGAATTCATGAAAAACAGTAACCTAAACACATTTAGTATGGATATAAATGCAAAAACTACCATAGCTTCATAACAAAAAATAATTATGTTATTATATTCCATTATTCCTGTAACAGTTAATACAGTCTTGAGCCCTGATTTACATTGAATGTCTGATGGCAAGTTGGAGTGATTTTTAGATTGGCAACTCACAGACTCAATGCGGGTGTCATGAATCCTGTCCGTAACCTTCCGTCCGCTCGCCACCAGATGTCGCCTTCTCATTATATTGACTCTCACACCACACAGACTGTTACACATCACCCTGGACTACATTTCCCATGTTCCATTGCACTGATTACACTCACACCAGAAACCAATCACACGGCCTATATAACAGTCATTCACATGCCCTTCCAGGCCAAGTTTTGTTTGCGCATATCACTGTGTTAGTGATAGCAACTTTACAGAGCCTTTCCGTGTTTCTAGTCCAGTTTAGTCTAGTCTTGTATCTTAGCCTGTTTATCTCGTCTCGTCAGTCTGCCGCCTGTCCTGGAATTATCGCCTGTCTTGGATTAACCCCTTGTCTTGCCGTTTCGGACTCTGTTTGCCCCTCGTCTGGACTATTCTGTCTGTTTGGATTATCTGTTTGCCTTGCCCCCTGGATTACGTTAGCCGTCGATCGACCCACGCCTGTTTACTGGACTGCTCTTGTGTCTTGCCCTCAATATACCTGTTTGCCAGTGTTCGACCCTGCCTGTGTATGACCATGTCTATGAATAAAGCTTTGCGTATGGATCCACACG